GCTTGAGCTATAATTTGAGGGACCTGAGTGAAGGGATCTCTCTCGTGGGGAGAGAACTGCATGTATGCCAGCCCTGAGGCATGTGGTGGGCCAGGTCATGGTGTGCCTTGTCAGCCCTAGCAAAGGGGGTCTTTACCCAAAAACTAACAGGAACCATAGAAGGAATTTAAGCAGGAGCATGACATGGTCAGCTTTGGATTTTGAAAAGAAGATCACTGGCCAGGCAGTGGAGAACAGACTGGAGGAAGAAGAGAGAGATAAACTGTAAAAGCAGAAACTCATCAGAAGGCTGCTGCCTGGATTGGAGTGGAGGTAGGTGGTAAGGTGGAAGAGGGATAAATTTGGAAAGTTGTTTAAAGTGGTGCCCTCACATGCCTTGGTGACTGGATGTGAGGGTATAGGAGAGGGTGTCACCCAGTGAGCTGCAAGGGATTCTCTGACTTGGTGTGTCCATCTCTGGTGCAGTTCCGCCCCCACCCTGGGCATGAGGCCCTCTACCCCCTAAGCTAAGTAACTTCACAGCAGGGTTGATAATAAGCAACTAGCAAAAGAAGTAGCTCACAGTGTGTAAGCCCCTCCGTGTGGTCGGGTTCATATAATAATCACTTAATCCTTACCACCACACTGTGAGATAAAACTATTATTATCCCCCCTTTACAGATGGGAAACCTGACATTTCTGGGGAGAGGCAGCTGGGACAAGGGCATTGTCTCTGCCTTAGAGGTGGACCCTGCCCTGGGTGGGACCCGCTTCCTTCTGGTTCTTCAATACTTGGCCAGGATTTTGAGAGGGAATGGACAGTTTTCCCTTCCTCTCCTCCAGGGATGTGGGACTTTGTTTTGAGCACCTGACAGTCAAATCTCCACTTCCATCCCCAGGATTAGCTGCTTAGCTCCGAAGCAAGCTCCAGTTCAGACTTGTATCCTGGGTGGGGAAGCTCCTGGAGATGAACCACACACAAAGTTAAGGGCATTTCCTGCTGCTTCACGTCATTCTAGCCACTAGATCTCCAATAGATTCCTAGAAAAAGCCCAGCTCGTACTTGCCTCCTGGTTCTCCCTTGTACTTACTGGCTGCTGCTTTTTTTTATTTTTTATTTATTTATTGATTTTTTTATAGAGGAAGGGAGAGGGATAGATAGAAACATCGATGAGAGAAAAATATTAATTGGCTGCCTTCTGCACGTCCCCTACTGGGTATCAGGCCTGCAACTAGGCATGTGCCCTGACCGGAAATCAAACCTATGACCTCTTGGTTCATGGGTCGATGCTCAACCACTAAGCCACACCAGCCGGACCTTACTGGCTTCTTAACCTCCCTGGGCCTCATTCTCTATATCAGTAAAATGGAAAATTAAAGTAACTACCTTATACAATACACTATGGGCCCAGTGCACGAATTTGTGCCCCTTGAACAGAACTGTGGCCCATGAGGCTGCGGTGGGCACAGGGGTGGGACACGACCCATCCTCTGCACCCCTCCTGCCGCAGCTCCTGTCTCCTGTCTGCTGGCAGCCCCGCTCCCGCCGCCACTGCTCCCAAACGCTGATGGCACCAACTGACAGCGCAGAGCGTTTGGGGCTGGCGCCAGCAGTGGGTATAAGCAGTGGCTGCTGCCCCAATCACCCCTCAGGAGCAGGGGGAGGTGAAGAATCCCTCAGGGGCAATGAGGGTCAACAGCTCCGCTTATACCCGCTGACGGTGCCAAGCAATCGGGACCGGCACCAGGCACCAGCAGTGGGTGCAAGCGGCAGCTCCAGCGCCAGCAGTGGGTACAAGTGGAGCCATCGCTGGCAGCAGGTGCGAGAGGTGGCTGCTGGCCCCAGTCGCCCCTCAGGAGCAGGGGGAGGTGGAGAAGCCCTGAGGGGCGATTGGGGCCAGCAGCCACTGCTCACACCCACTGACGGTGCTGAGCGATGGGGGCCAGCGCCGGGTGCAAACAGTAGGTGCGAGCACTAGGTAGGACCGTGGTGTGCTAGAGCAAAGAATTTTCAGCAACCACCAGAATCTCACCCCGATGACAGCGACCGGCATCCCTCCTTAGTGTGGTGTCCCCCCTCACCTGTTCCACCACCATCCCGACGCCTGCCATGTTCTGCATGCACACCCTGGTGGTCAGTGTACATCATAGCGACTAGTTGTTTGGTTGTTCCACAGTTCGGTCTATTTGCATATTAGGGTTTTATATACATAGATAAGAAGTGCTCAGCCCTGGTTGGGTAGCTCAGTTTTAGAGCATCATCTCGATACACCAATGTTGCAGGCTCGATCCCTGGTCAGGACACATACAAGAAGCAGCCAGTGCATGCATAAATAAGTAGGACAACAAATCAACATTCCCCTCTCTCTCTTAAGTCAATGAATAAAAGTAAAAAAATAAAATAAATGCTCAGTCGGTGCTGGCAGCTGTTCCTTCTGCCCAGATCTCTCAGCTATTTGCTCTTAGCTTGGCTCCTTCTCCTCCAGGTTTCAGCTCAAAGCTCATTTCCTCAGAGAAGCCTTCCCCAACCACCTGCTCTAAAGGACCCACATCACCCTTATCTGTGATCTTTATAGCACCACAACTAGAAAGAGTTTGGTTCACTTATTTACTCATTTCTTTCTCTTCCATTAGAATGTCAGCCCCAAGAGGGCAATTCTGTATCCCCAGAGCCCAGAACAGAGCAGATGTTCATTTTTAAAAACCTGATGAAGGAATAATAATATGCTCTAAAGCAAATCATTTCCCTCTCCTGGCCCAAGCTTTCCCATCTGTAAAATGGGGATAATTGTGCCAACCTTGCAAGACTGTCATAGGATGAGTGAAGGTTTTTTTAGAAGAGGAGACAGGGAGACACCACCTGTCTCAGCTGCCATGGGGAGGAAGCTAAGAAACTCTCCTGATTGAAAACCTCCCAAGAACCCTAGGATGGAGGGAATGTCAGTCACCTGTTCCTGAGAAAGAATCTGAAGCTCAAAGAGGTGCAGTAACTGGCTCCAGGTCACAAAATTAAGTAGTCAGTCCTCTTTTTGCTGTGGCAACTGTCCATGCGCTTCCCATGACCACTGGCACAATGACATCCTCAAGACACCCCCTCTATACCTGTTGAGATTCTTCCCAACACAACACCATCTCCTCCATGAAGCCACCTTTGATTGCTCCAGGACATTCCCTGCCTTGCAGTTTCTGTTGCAAATTAGTTTCCCCAGGAGGCAAATTCTGAGATTAGTGTGTAGACATTTACATTTGACCTTGAACAACTCTGGGGTGAGGGGGGCTGACCTCCTGTGCAATAGAAAGTCTGGGTGTAACTTCACCTGACCTCCTTCATCCCCAAAGACACATCCATGGAGTTCACCCTTGAATAACGGGTTTGAACTATATGGGTCAATTGGAAAAATCCACGTGTAAGCAGATCTGCACAGTTCAAATAGTTCAAAATCATGTTGTTCAAGGGTCAACTGTATTAGGGCATTATTGAGATCAATACCTGCTTGGGCCCAGCTGGTATGCTCAGTGGTTGAGTGTCGACCCATGAATCAGGAGGTTGCTGTTGGATTCCAGGTCAGGACACATGCCTGGGTTATGGGCTCGATCACCAGTAGGGAGCATGCAGGAGGCAGCCAATCGATGGTTCTCTCATTGATGTTTCTATCTCTCTTTCTCCCTCTCTCTGAAAATCAATAAAAACATATCTAAAAAAATAAACCTGTTTGGGGGAGAAAAGGAAGGAAGCAGGACTGAGCAGAGGGAGGATTTATCTGTGATGTCACAACAATGGCTTCAGTGGACTCCATAACCCTATATAATAAAAGGCTAATATGCAAATCGACCGAACAGCAGAACAACCGGTCGCTATGACATGCACTGACCACCAAGGGGCAGATGCTCAATGCAGGAGCTGGCCCTGGTTGTCAGTGCCCTCCCATGGAGGAAGTGCCGCTCAGCCAGAAGCCAAGCTCACAGCTGGCGAGCACAGCAGCGGTGATGGGAGCCTCTCCCACCTCCATGGCAGCGCTAAGGATGTCCTGAAATTCCCTGCACTCATCCTCACCTATGCAGCAGTGTACAGACTCAGTGTCCCAGCCCCGGAAAGCTGCTGGAAATGGCCACATCCCAGCCAAGAGGAGTAGTGATGACAGTTCTTGTCATTTAGTTCTCAGCAAGTGGCAGTCAGACATCACCCTAGGGCAGTGATGGCGAACCTATGACACGTGTGTCAGAGGTGACATGCGAACTCATTTTTTTGGTTGATTTTTCTTTGTTAAATGGCATTTAAATGTATAAAATAAATATCGAAAATATAAATCTTTTATTATGGTTGCAAATATCAAAAAATGTCTATATGTGACATAGCACCAGAGTTAAGTTAGGGTTTTTCAAAATGCTGACACACCGAGCTCAAAAGGTTCACCATCACTGCCCTAGGGCTCCCGGACTGTGCGAGGGCATAGGCGGGGCTGAGGGACACGCACCCCCCCCAAGTGCATGAATTTTGTGCACCAGGCCTCTAGTGAGTGATAAAGTGAGATTTGGTCTTCAGAGTCGTTCAGCATTGAGACAAGAAGGCCTGGCCTTTGAATATCCTGCCCCCATTAGATCCACATTGGATGTGGGCTGTCCCTGAGGGGTGGGGAGTTCCCAGAGAGTGTCTTCCTCATTCCACAGCACTCCCAGCAGCTGGGGGGTGTGGGGTGGGGATAAGGGTGAGGAGGAGGCTATGGGTTCTTCAGCCCGGCTTCCCAGATCCAGATCCAGTCCCTGGCCTTGGACCAAGGGCACTGGGCAGCAACAATCACACTTATTTCCATGCCCAGACTCATCCAAGCCTGAGGACCTAAGGAGGCTCTGAGCCAGGCTCCCCCTGAAATTCCCTGCACTCATCCTCACCTGTGCGGCGTGTACAGACTCAGCGTCTCCGCGTCCCAGCCCCGGAAGGCTGCTGGAAATGGCCACAGCCCAGCCAAGAGGAGTGGTGATGACAGTTCTTGTTATTTAGTTCTCAGCAAGTGGCAGGTTCTGGCTGAGCGTATCCCATCCATTATCTCATTCATGCACCTCCCCACCCCCTACTCCCTTGAGGCAGGGTGTTTTATGACTAAGCAGGCTCAACAGGGAGCTGTATACCTGCCTCTAGAACTTTCTTTTGTTGATTGATTTTAGAGAGGGAGGAAGGGAGAGACACTGATTTATTGTTCCGCTATTTGTGCATTCTTTGGTTGATACTTGTATGTGATCTAACGGACAACCTTGGCGGATTGGGACGACACTCTAACCAGCTGAGCCACCTGGCCGGAGCCTCGACCTGAGCTCCAAGAGCCCAGATTCAGGAGCCATGACTAGGCCAGGATATTGTTTATATGATCCCTTCCGGGATATTCCGCTTTCGCCCTTTGGAGAAACAGTCCCCATCCCACCAGCACGTCTGAGGTTGGCACTGGTTTAACCCCTTCCCTCCCAGAGTCAACACTGGCAGGGGCCTGCATGCTGCTTCCTGCTGGGGAGCCTGGGGATTTGAGGCTTGATGAGCCGGATGCCCCCCCAGTCCTCCTCCAGCTTGAGGTCCCCCTGCTGCAGGGCCTGCTGGATGGCGTTGGCAAGTGTCTGGAAAGCTTGGTCCACATTGCAGTTCTTTTTGGCTGAGGTTTCCATGAAGGCCATGCCCAGGGAGGCAGCCAGCTCCTCTGCCTCCTGGGCCGAGACACAGCGGTCGCTCTCCAGGTCGCTCTTGTGGCCCAGGAGCAGGAAGACTGCCTTGTGGGGGCCCTGAGTGGCCATGACCTCCTGGTGCCAGTCTGGAATGTGTTCGAAGGACTTCCTGTTTGTCACATCGAAGACCAGCAGGACACCCACCACATTCCGGTAAAAAGACCTGGTCATGCACCTGATGGGATTGAGGAGCAAGGAGTAAATGGGGAGAGCCCTGTACCTACCCTCAAGGCCCCCCAGAGGCAGGACCTCCCCTGCATCCACTGACTGCCCCCCCACCCCTCCTTTCCTTCTCTCCATTACAGCTCATTTCACACGGCCTGTGTTTCGGCGGCTCCTGGACGCTGTCTCTCTCCCAAGAGTGCGCGCTTCCCAGGTAGGGAGTGAGTTTGATGCACTTACTCTCCGACATTCCTCCCGCCCTTCCTGGAGGAGGCCTGACGTTTGCCCCCGGAAAGTCCGCTTCCCGCTTCCCGTTCTCTGCCTGGCAAACTCCTACGCATCCGTCAAGGCCAACGCAAACCTCTCCTCCTTTCCCATCCCCCGGACCTCGCGCTCCGTGCTCCCGTGGGCCGCTCGGCACCCACATCCTGCATCCCTCCGGGCTTCAGTTAGGGTCCTCCCCCACCCAAGGCCTGCATTTCCTGACGGGTAGGGGGTGGCGGTGGGGGGAGGCGCAACAGGTCTCCAGCATCTGGCCCGGGCCGCGCCCTCCAGCTGCATGTGTAGGTGGCGGGACTCGAGAGGGAAGGACTGGAGACCCACACCTCTAACGGGGCCACCGAGGCTGACCCCTCCGAGGGGGTCCCCAAACCCGAGGTCCCTCACCTCCTCGGCCCCCGCTTCTGGCCCCTCCCCCGCCCACCGCGCACCCACAGTCCGCACCTGAAGCGCTCCTGGCCCGCGGTGTCCCAGAGCTG